GCCAAAGATGAGCTCTGGAGCTCGGTAATATCTCGAGCAGATATAGCTGACATTCGGCTCGCCAGCGATCAGGATCTTCGCGCTACCGAAATCGCAAAGCTTCAGAACGCCTGTGATCGGATTGAGCAAGAGATTCTGTGGCTTGATATCGCGATGGCAGATTCCAAGAGAGTGGATATAAGCAAGCGACCGAAGCAGCTGGTACATGTACAGCTTGATCGTCGCCATCGGCATCGTCTGTTTCAGTTTTGCAAAGTGCCGCGAAGCTCGGTAGACTGTCTCTGGCACAAATTCGAGAACGAGGTTGAGGTAGACCTCGTCCTTTTTCTGTGATTCGCTATCAGCACACAGAGATAGCGCAGCACTGCAATGACGCGCCTTTTCTCCGTTGGAATAGAAGAATGCTCGCAAGTCCACGACATTAGGATGGCTGACGAGGCGCATGATTTGCAGCTCTCGGTTCTGCGCGTACGAATGAGCAACGTGCACGCGTGATGTACGCGCGACCCACTTTGAAGCGTTTGTCCTGCAGGACCTTCTTGATCGCGACATCTTCGCCTGCGGCTATGCCACTACCTTGCTTCTGCTCGCCATTCTCGCCGACGGGCGAAGAAGCTTCTCCCTCGCCCGGAGTGCATGACACAAGCTTTGCTTGAAAGACGACACCGAAGGATCCATTGCCGACGACTTTGCAGTTGGTATAGACGAGCTCCTTTGGCGCTCCAGACTTGCCATCAGAGGCAGACACTTTGATGTGCTTTGTGGCGTCCTCTGTGACGTAACGTCAGCGCCGATCAGACAGGGATGAAAAGGGGCGACAAACCGACGCCGACGCGTAGACCGTTGATAGGTCCCATAGAGGCCATGTCGCTATTATCAGGTTGTTCCGGTACCGAAGGAGCGCTACAGTCGTGCTCACGTGAGGCAGCGGAAGAGGTCGACTCAACGGCACGCGAAAGTCGGCCGTAGTGTCTCGAAAAAATGCGTCGATACGAGTCTCGACTGCCAGGGGTCTGCTGAGAGCCTGCTGAAGGTGGTGACACTCGCTGACGCCTAGGTTGGGGAGGCTGCCGAGTCGGCCTTGGTGCTAGAACGCCGAAGAGAGGTAGCTCAATCCGTTCTTGCTCACCGAAGTCTTTCTTGCCAGAAGAATCTGCAAGAGCGAGCGAGAGTGAGGTCTGATCACCTACGAGCGTCGAAGAATGAGGTCGCCGCGAAGAGGTAGTCGACTTGGCGCGGTGGGAGTCGACAGCCAAGTCCGAGTTGAGAGCGCAGCTAGCTTCCTTCTCGGATCGAGTCGAGCCTCCACAACAGCAGCAGCGAGACAGCAAAACCGCTGTGAATCTGCCCGTCTGCTCGGCGCTGCCTGCAGTCAACTGCGAGCGCGCCCAAGGGTCAGGCGGATGTCGTGACCGTGCTGTCTTGTCCTTGCGAGCTCGCTTGGTAGCTCGTATCGATTGAGGATTGGCGTAGAGCTGTGCCTAGCTGATGAGCGCTGCTAGGCAGTCGCAGAGCGTCGAAGGAGTGCACTTCTAGCTCGAAAGCGCCTGCTCTGGTCGGTGTTCTTAACGTGGTGGGACGCCGCTCAGAGCCTGGGTGCTCCTCACTGGTGAAGCTGCTGCACTTCGATTCGCACGTGCGGCTATGGACTGCGAGTTTTGGAGCTGTTCACCTCGCTCTACAAGGTCGCGGGGCGACGACAGCTGCGAGTGTTCAGCATGACCTACTCACGTGACTCTTCCGGCTTCCACGATCCATCGCGGTCGAGCAAGATCAAATGATGAAATCAAACTCGCGGCCCGCAGGTGAGCCTGGTCGTATGCTACAAACACATTGCATATTGCATACTCTCAATATACAACAACATCGACAGATCACCGAGTGTCCTTGCTCAAGCCAAAGGAGAGCGACGCGCAGACTAGGCCTAATAGGATCATCAGCAGCCAGATGAGGTAGCCATTGAAGACTTCCGGAGCATCTGTGATCGACCAAGCAAATAGCGATGTGCCTGCCCAGGGCGCGATAGCTCTTGCAAACGAAACTGTCGTCTGCGAAAGACCATGCAGCGTTCCGAGCGAGTCCGAGCCTGAGGCGAGCGCGTTGACGAGCAAGGAGATGCACGAAAAGGAGATGTTGGCAAAGCTGACGATTGCCAGATGGATGAATAAGACGCTGTATTCTGCTATGCGCGCGGGTGTGCCTTCCATGCGTGCAAACTGGTTGATGAAAGGCGGAAAGATATACGTAGTCGGATAGAGCAGCATGCAGAATCTATATAGCTTCAGTCCGCCGTACCGTTCGTGCAGCGGAACAAAGAGGAATAGCTGGCAGAACGTGACTGACAGGCCTCTGATGCTGAGCATCGTGCCTAGTTCACCTTCGGACATACCGAGACCGCCGCTCTTGACTGGCGTGAATGCAAAAAGCGGCAGGATAGCTGTCCAGGCGGTGATGACGGTGGCGCGCGTCGCAAAGTTGGCGAGTGTGATCTGAACTTGCGGGTCTCTCAGCAGCATCCTTAGCTGACTCGGCTTTGGCTTGTCGTGCAATGCAGCCTCCCGTTCTAGCTCATCCTGACCCTGCAAAGCATGATCTTCGTACTGACTCGACCGCCGCTCGGCCGTTGGCGATAGCAGCGCATCGTCACTGTAAGCCGAGGCAACGGAGATCGTGCGCTCATGCCTGAGCGTCTTGCTATAGCTTGCTATCCTCTCGTACTTTGGCTGGTGATTCGGATGCGTCTGTGCTGCGAATCAGTCGTGGCCTGCAGCATACCCTACTGGCTCACCTCTTCCAGCACGATCGAGCTGAGAACGGCGCCAACAAAGGGAAAGACGGCGGCGATGAGACAAGGCAGCGCGTAAGGGTACGCATGTAGGAAAGCAGAATCGCCAAAGACGGTGGGATAGCGTTTGGCCGCGTTGGACAGACCGCCCCCGAGTGCGCTGCCGATGACGCAGCCGAAGGACCAGCAGACAGGCATGAGTGAGAACATTCTAGTACGCCGCTTGGACCCAGGGCTCGTCATCTCGCTCATCATGCTCTTGGCAACGGCGACATTGCCAGACAGCCCGCCTGCGAGCGATCGGCTGACGATCAAGCCGGGGATCGTCCTCGACAAGCCGAAGGAACATATACTGATCGCAACGCCGGCCAAGCCTGAGATCATGATGGGCTTTCGACCGAACTTGTCTGACGCTCGGCCCCACGCGAGCACAGTGAATAGCTGCGCGAGGGCGAATGCAGACTCGACCGCGCCTGCAGAGTAGCCTACTCGCTCTGTGGGTACACCTAGCGAGGCGATCTCGGCATTGATGAAGGGGAAGATGACGGAGAAGCAAACGGGCTCGCAAAGCATGATGATGACCATGATGACCCATTGCGATCTTTTGAGGGGCTTGTCTAGCGCCTTTGCCGGCGGAGGCGACAGTAGCGTCTGTCGGTCTTCATCCTCGTCATCGCTCATGACTTGCGATGGCCTGAGCGATGGGGCTATACCGGAGGGCGACAATCTCGACTGCGTGGAGTCGACACCCAAAATTAGATGATTCAAGTTGTGAGCGCGGGGCACTAGCGCGCACTAGCAAAGGCAACAATGCCGCGTGCCGCGTTTCACGCTTCCACGTCGCTCAGCCCACAGAAATGACATTTGTCGAGGCGACATGCTCGGCGCCGGTCAGTCGAGTGCATGTACATCATGTGTATGCTGATGCTTTGCTTTGGTGCTAAAACAGGTCAACATCGCAGTCATCAAATATTGGGGCAAGAGGGACACTGCGCTCATTCTGCCAACCAATTCGTCCCTTTCTCTGACGCTGTCGCAAGATGATCTGCGCTCTACAACGAGCATACGTGCAGATGCAACCTTCACACGAGACGCGCTGTGGTTGAATGGCTCGAGCGTCGCTCTAGATGGCGAAGGCAGGATGACGACTTGTCTCGAGGAAATGCGCAAGCTCAGGCGACAACTCGAACAATCAGCCTCACAGAAAGACATTGACGGCAAAGTAAGCTCTTCTTTGAGGCAAAGAAGGCTGATGACAAGGTGCACGGTTCGCAGGCGCTGTCGAGCTGTCACTTGCACATCGTGTCAGAGAACAACTTCCCTACCGCTGCCGGCCTAGCATCATCAGCTTCAGGCTTCGCAGCGCTTGTCTTCACGCTCGCAAAACTATACCAGCTGCCTGAGAACGCATCTGAGCTATCGAGAATAGCACGACAGGGCTCAGGATCAGCCTGTCGGTCACTGTTTGGCGGGTATGTCGCTTGGGAAATGGGCGCCTCTGCGGATGGGCAGGACTCGTTAGCTGTCCAAGTTGCGCCCGAGACACATTGGGCGGGCATGAAAGCACTGATCTGCGTGGTGTCGGATGCAAAGAAAGGCACTTCTTCTACTTCGGGCATGCAAAGGACCGTGCAGACTTCGACACTGCTGCAAGAGCGCATCAATTCTGTCGTGCCCGAGAGAATGGCAGAGATCACAAAGGCAATCAACCAACGCGATTTTGATACCTTTGCAACAATCACCATGAAGGATTCGAATAGCTTCCATGCAGTCTGCATGGACACTTTCCCACCTATCTTCTATCTGAACGACGTGTCAAGGTCAATCATCGCAGTCATCACAGAACTCAACAGACTCTCGACAGAAGCTGGCAAAGGTCTTGTGGCGGCTTACACATTCGACGCAGGGCCGAATGCGGTCATCTACGCACTCGAGCAAAGCATGCCCGAGATCATCGCACTCGTCTCTCACTTTTTTCCGGGGAAAGATAGAAAAGAAGGCTCCCTGCCTGCTGGCTTCAACGTGAAAGTATCGACTGTCTTTCCGCCGGAAAGCGTCAGCCGACTTATCCATACCCGAGTAGGCGACGGACCGCGCGTGCTAAGCGCAGACCACTCTCTCGTCGCGTCAGACGGCCAACCCAAGAGAATCGCATGACGTCCGCGCAGAGTGACGTGACAACTGTTCGTGTATGCATTGCTGATCGCTACATCTTTCTATTTCCACTGATTGCGCGAGTTCATGAACATGAGGGTGTATGTGAGGCAAGGGCTCCTATGCCTTTTTGCGATCTTCTGCAGAATCATTCTTGAATGGGAAACTGCTCTGATGCTAACCGTCGCGCATACATGTCAGTCAAAACCCGGACTGAGCAAGGAGCCTGCTTACCTTGTCTTTTCCTTTCGAATTCAGCGAAAGGTTTGCGCCAAAGACGAGCGACCACAGTCCAAAGACAGTGAGACCGGCTGCGTTGATTGCGATGAAGCGCAGACTGTGTGACCAGCAAACGGCTGCGAGACCCCCGAGATAGCCAGAAGCAATGGCGATGGCCGGACTGCGGAAAGGACTGGCCATCGCTTCCCCCTCATCTGCAGACAGCGTGGTCACGAGTGGGATTGCGCCCGTCTGTACACGTTCATCAGAGACGCTTGTCAACGGGCTACGTGGGCACTCACTTGGATGATAAGCATGAGCGAGAGAGCAACGTGTGCGATACCTGCGATGAGGGCAAAAAAGCACTCGAGCTGGCTCAGCGGTCGTAGCACACCGCCTTCGCCTTCGACTGAAGCCAGGTCGTCCCCCAGAGCGATAGAGAGCAGCCTCGGAAAGAATATCATTGGGATCGAGATGAGGATGAGGAAAGTGGCCGCTGAGAATGCAAAGTAGCTGTCCAGTCGGGCTTGTTAAGCTCAATGGATGCACATTGAAGCTGTGCGACTGACTGGGTAGTGTTGCGGTCAATGACAGCATTGGCATTTTCGCTTGCAATGACGGAGTTGATTGAAGATGACTTGTCCAGTGCAACGTCCTCGCCCGGTTGCGTCGACATCTCTGTGCTGATCTGCTGACTTGTGTGAGGTCGTCCTCTGTACTGTACCTTGAGTCAAGCCGGGGAAATGAGCTGGCAATTAAGCTCGTTGCGCAGCCTGGGGCAGTGCTTCTGTGTCGATGAAGTCATCGCTCTGTCACTGTCGGCGTGTCATCTCATGCCCCCCAAGAAAGCCAAACCCAAGGGAAAACAAGAGCCTATCGACTACGACGAAGCCCTTGATGCAGGTGTACACCAGGAGGAACAAGCAGAGCGCTACCAGTTCGGCGACAAAGCATTGCGATATTATCACGAATCTCTCCGTCTCTACCGGCTCGCTCAGACGTTTCGGTTCACCGGAGATGCCATCTACAACGAGTGCGCTTCTCTTCGTCGTGTGGACTGATATCATCCTCATCAGAAGTCCAGAGCGCGCGTTTTGCTAAAGCTAGGCGACACATTCACGCCTTTTCCTCATTGTCGAGAACTTGTCTCGCAAGCCATCGATCGCTTCGACGCTGCTAGACAGTATGAAGTCAGCCGTGACGATGCTTGCTTCAACATGACGGCTGCCCTGACAACTCGTTACGAGATGGACACCGACTTTGCAGGCAATGAGCCCATCGCGCTTGACGATCCTCAGAGAGCGCTTAGTCTGCTGGACGAGCTCCTGGTATCCCAGATCTCACGCTTACAACCAGCATCGCAAGATGACGATGTTCCTGATGCATCCCTGGGGATGGTCGAGGATAACGATATCCAGATCACCGAGATTGTTACGCTCGACATTGTGCTCACGACGATCATCGCAAAGAGCGACGTCGAATGTTTGCTGCCGAACCAGCATGTCCTGCAGCCGCTCTCTGCGTCTGTAGACCTTGCCACCTTGTCTCATCGACAAGAGGACATCCGAGTGGCCGAGCTCGGCAGGTTGGCACACAACATATCGCTATTCACAGACGCCCAGCTCGTGTCCATACTCGACGAGCTCGTCAACGATTTGGCAGTCGACTTACCCGCGAGTGGTCTGACGAGCCTGGCCGAGTTCTTCGTGCTCGTCGTGGAAGAGCAGCGCTTGGATCGAGCGAAATGGTCTACCCTCCTGCAGCTCGCGCAGAATGCTTTCGGTCGCGCATTGGCAAAGTTGCAAGGTGCAATGCCGCTCAAGCCACCTTTACAGACTCACGAGCGCAAGCTCGCCCTAGCAGACTGTCATCTTTCGCTCGCCAACGTGGACAGGTTGCAGACGGGCACATCGTCAATATCCGATCATATCCATCAGGCCCTGACAATCTTGCTGCCGAATGGACCAACAGCCGCGGTCTGGCTGTCCAATCCGCAGATCGAGAACATAGAATGGCCGCGTCAGGTGCTACTGATGCGAATAGCTGAGATTGCAAAAGCTACAACAGTGCTTGCTCGATCCGTTGACGGTGCATCGCACTGAGCTTCTCAAAGACCTCGAGCTTCTGCCGCAAAGCTCTCTCGGCTTCTCCTGCATCTCTATCGAGAGCGCGGGTGATGTACTCCTCCACCGTCATATCGAGTTCGGCTTCGGTCATTGCGGGCGGTAAGGCGATCAGATCAGATACTCGCTTCGGACTGCTCGGCAAGGCTGCAGCGGAGCCGTTGATGACGGGCAAGCGGAGTGTAGCATCTTCATTCGCCTCTGGCGCCTCGATGATCGAGAAGGAATGATCGGGCGAGGCAACCGAGTGGAATGCAGTAGATGTGCTCGAGCGAGGTGTAGCTTCTGCAGGGGCCTGTAGATGACCTGGGGCCGGTGCTGGCTCCCTGGACACTTGCTCGACAGTGTGTAAAATCTTGCTTGCATGGACTGGCTCGTCAGGTAGATCTAATGACGTGGAGCCGAGATCGATGGTCGGTATCTGACTTGTCTTCGAGACCGTTCGAGTCTGACTCTTTGTTGCTTTGCGCCTCGGCTTTTTCGCCTGGGGCAAAGGCGGTGAAGAGGATGCTGGTCCATCCGCTATGCCTTCGTCGTGCGATGGCGGCGCAGAACGCGTGGAGCTGGCTAGGGAAGCAACAGAGGCCGAACGAGTCACGCGCCTCGTTTGCACGCCCGTCGTCTCTGTTCGGTCCGGAGGACGTCGCGCAATGCTGTCTGTGCTGATCTGTCGCTGTCGCTTTGCGCCGGACACCTGTCGCTTGCCAGGCAGTACTGCCGGCCGAGGTTCCTCTTCAGGTTCGACGCGTGTTGCTTGCTCCGGGACATCGTCAGCTGCACTTGCCCTTGAGCCGATAGACGCCGAGCTTGTCGGCTTGCTCCTCGACGCTGCCAAATTACTCCTCTTGCTCGTTGACGCTTTTGGCGCGCTCTCGACGGCTTTCGCTCGTCTTGCCAATTCTGCCTGAACGAATGCGCAGTGAGTCTTGCGCTTGTGATGCTCATCACTGCAGTGAGGTCAGTATGGGCCCAAAAAAACCTGCTGAGCGCGTACAATGGTATGTCGTCTTTCTCCCAGCCGTCTAGGCCGGTGCCGCAGTAGGGACAGAGCGCGGTGTCTATCCGTCCGTCATCTATATCGGGACTGAAGAAGAAGCCCGCCTCGGCGATCTGCTCAATCGGTATCAGCAGCTATCGCGTGAGCTGGAACAGTGGACTCGCATTCTTGGCATTGGGCGTCCAGCCGCGCTTGTCATGGGGCCACCAAGTGCCAAAGGTAGTGAAGCGCATCCTCGTCTCGTGTTCGCTCGTGGGGTTCTCCATCCAATCTTCGAGAGGCGGGATCGGTAGACCGGCTTGTACGGATGCTCCCATGACGCTGTGTATCTTGCGGAGGTGTGCAAAGGCGCACTCTCCAGCGTACTGTTGATGACGAAAGTGTTCTTGCGTCGCATCGTCGTCCTCGGACCAGCCACCGTAGCTACGGGCACAGAGGAAGCAAGTCGCATTGTCTTCGTCGCCTACGCTCGGCGAATAGTAGAAGCCCGCTTCTGCTAGCGACCTCGGTGTGATGCCATACTCTGCGGGATGAGGCCACGCGATGTTTGTCTTGGGAATCCCGCCGTTCTCGAAGGTGCCGATGCGAAAGGCAGGCTGAGCGAGGAGTGCTTCTTGTTGCTTGTGTACGTCTCTCGCCTTGCCCTTTGCCCTGCCTTTGCTGGCCATCGGGCTTGTCGGTACAGGCAAGTCCAGCAAGTCGCGTCCCTCATTGTTTCGCTGGGAGGCCGAGGCCGAGATTGACGGTCCGATGGAGCATGAAGTGCGCCGGTTCGGCCTCAGGGTCAAGCTCGCATACGAAAGCGGTGATGCACGCGCACTTGCAGCCTGCTTCGAGCCTCTCTGGTTTCTCAGCGCTCAGAATGACTCTCCCACTCGACAGCTCGCTCTTGCTCTCCAGGCTACCAATGTGAGCCGTGTGCGCTAAGGTCCCGGCTCAGCTCATGCCTCGGCGCAACACACAGAGCGTCATGCTCAGCATTCGCAGTCTCTTCAAGGAGAACGGACCGCTCGGAGACTTGGTACACGACTACTTACGCTATCTCGATGACGCAAGGCCAGGCTCGCCAGACTTGTCGGCCAAAGCAGCTGCCTACGAGCTCATACAAACATGCTACACGTATGTCGCACGAACGCCGAGCTTGCCTATCGCTGAAGAGCATACAGCGATGTTCTGAGTATCTTTCAGCAGCCAGATAGTGATTGGCTCGTGCCAACGCTCAAGCTCTTTTCGCGCGCCCTCGCCCTGCTGGCACTTCAAGTCAGCTCGTCCTGTCAGATGAACGGTACAGGGCTGATCGACACAATGACAGGCGGACGAGGCAGCGCACGATAGCAAGAACGTCCGCGCAAGTCTGGCATCCCGCTTGCTCATTCGCACTTTGAATGTCATCTCGACGGACAAGTTGGTCATCGTTCATCCGAGCAGGCCCAAGCTCATGTACCAACAGAGGCGCGACTCAGAAGCGTCTGGCAACTTTCTATGTCGCCAATCAATGCTTGCGCATCTACTTTAAGCTTGACAATCTGCGCCTGACCGATACGATCATCAACAACACGCGACACGCTCGACCGTTCCTCGACGTCGACTTTCCCAAGTCCGATCGAGTGACCTATCGATACTATATCGGGCGGATCTACCTCTCGCAAAGGCGTCTGCGACAAGCAAGACAAGAGCTACAAGCCGCTTTCGATCTCTGCTCTCCTGCTGCATACGCCCAATGCAGAATGCTGCTCATCTTCCTCATCGCTGCCTCTTTACCCCTCGGAATACTGCCCAGCAAGCTATTGCTGCAACAATATGACCTGGAACCGCAATATGGACCCTTGACCGATGCGCTCAAAGTAGGCCTTCACTTTTTGCATTACAGCTCAGCGCCGCTGACGGGCGCATAGCTCGGTGACTATACCGCCTGCGTACAAGCTCTCGATCGATGGCGAGAGTGGCACAGATCTAAAGGGGCTTACGTTCTCCTCAAAGAGAAGTTGGAAGTAATCTGCTGGCGCAATCTGTGCCGCAAAGTGTACGTTATCCGCTAGCTCGGCCGACACCGCTGATCGCGAGATGTAGGCTGTGGATACTCAGCAAAGGCAGGCCAACGAGTGAAGGGCCTCCAACGCTCCCACTGGACAAGCTACTCGCTGCGGCACAATATGCCTGGCGAGATCCGACGCTCGATCTAGACGACATGCATTGCGTTGCGGCTAGCCTGAACGAGCAAGGCTACAGCAAAGCTTACATCCACCAGGCGCGCAATTTGCTCGTCTTGCAAAAAGGCCCACAAGCGGGCTTCCCGCCCGTCAGCTCTGTACGCTTGGCGGGCGCTGAACGACTCGCGGTAGCCGACTAGCGCATACCTGTGTGTACTTCATTGTTGTTGACAGCAATTTGCAGTTCCTCCGCGATGCTGCATCAAAGCTTAATACCCGTGTGGATTGCCGCCACGCCGAATGTGAGGTCTTCCCAGATCTGGCCCCCCTGTGGCGCAGTGAAACCTGCGTCTTCTATCATCTCTGCGAATCTCTCTTGCGTTGGAAACTTGACGATCGATTCGACGAGGTATTGATACGAGTCGCGATCGGCAGCAATGATGTGTCCCAAGTTGGGTATGACCGAGAAGGAGTATGCCTCATAAGCTCTGCCTCGGAGTCAGCGGGTGCCATGCAGACGAAGCGAGAGACGACGGCTAACTTTGCAAGTAGGGGATTAGTGACTTTGCTGAACTCGAGACAGCTGAACACTCCGCCGGGCTTGAGAACCCGGTAAGCTTCTGACAGTACTTTGTCAACGTGTGTGCAATTTCTGATGCCGAATGCGATCGTATAGACATCGAGCGAGTCTGATGATATCGACTTGAGATCTTCAGCGTTTCCGACTTCGAAGGAAACTTGAGGCCCTGCATTCTCCATGAGAAATGTTGGGTGAAGCGCTACGATCTTACCGGCGTGATACATCGTCTTTGCGAATCGCTTGCGACCCTCGGCGAGCATGTCAGGGTTAATGTCGAGCACATGAACAGACGTCTCGCGATCGGCATGCTTGTCTTTGGCATGATCAAGGATTCGCATGGCTATATCGCCAGTCCCGCCCGCTACATCGAGGCACTTGAGACCGCCATGAGGATCGAGCTTCTTGACGTAGTGATCTTTCCAGAGCCGATGGATGCCTAGCGACATCGCATCGTTCATCACATCATAGGACGATGCCACGGACGAAAAGACCGACGAGACTGCAGACTGTTATCAGCTCCATACTCGAGAACGGAATGGGTGGGCTGACCTAAAGACTCCTTCTGACCCTCAGGCACATTCTTGAAGCCAAAATGCGTCTCTCGAGCTTGCCTCTTTGCTTCCGCCTTTGCCTCGGATGCAGCGTCTCGGAGGGGTGAGCAGCTAACGAAAGTGCGACCGCATGCTCTCGGGGCTGTAGCAAAGGGCAGCGATTGCCTGCATACTCGCCTCAGCATCGTCCTCGAGGTCCGAGAAGCTGCACGCGTCCACAGCGCAAAAGCTCGCGAGGTCAATCTTTACATCAAAAAGATACGTAGCGCGTGTCTTGATCAACTGCATACTACAATGAGACGAGCTGCGCGGAAGCGGCAAAAAATGATCTCTGGAACTGTGATTTGAACACAGGAGGGCGAACCCAGCAGCTAATTCTAGGGAATTCAAAACTGCCGCCTTAAACCTGAGAGTGCAGAATATCAGCGACGTCACTCAGGCTCACAAGTTTGACTTGCCGCTCGGCCATCCCAGACGGTAAAATCTTTTCTCACGCCCCACCGTAGCATGTCATACATAATGTTTGTCTATGCGATCGACCGAGCGCAAGCCGGATGTGATTTCAAAACCGAGTCGTCAGGCCAGTCGTGGCAGCCATGCGTGGTGTACAACCCGCTTCGGCTGACGCGTACAGCAAGGTGGAGCAGAAAAAGGAAAAGCCAAAAAAGAAGGGGATGCCTTAACACCGGTACGCGAAAGTGTGATACGAGCCAGCATTGCGAAAGGACCGACAGCAAGCCATCGAATCGATTCAGGCGCGAAAGATCAGAGAAACTTTTGTTAGGTCGATGACCTAATTCTAGAGTTTCGTCTAGAAAGAACAGATACTACACTTGATCAAAGCCAAAAGGCCAGAAACGGTGTCCTGCGAGTCAGCGCAAACTATATATACCTAATTTCCAGAAGATTCAGTGTGATCAAGGCACAACGGCTGTTGGACAATGTAGAACAGGACTCGACCTCAGTGCAGTGGACATACCGATGCTTGATACGGTCGGCAGGCTTACATTTGCCTTTTCAAAGCACTTCGATAGATCAGATCGAGCGTTGTTCTATCCTTTTGCATACATTCTCAGCCCAAACACTCGCGCACGCTCGCTCGCACGTAAAAGAGATGCCCAACGCCAGCTATGCATGGGCTGCGAGTGCAGAGCACACGTCATGATCTCACACAAGCTATTGCACGCTGCGTTCGCCGTCGCCGAATTCGCCCGCGGGGCAGCCGAATCTATGTCTCATGGGCTTGAGAGCCTTCAGAAGTCAGCGATCGATACTTGCCAGCGTTTGAGGGACAAGCCAGCATTCACAAAAGCACATGAGACTGCACTTGTATTCAGATAACGAGAGATGGCATCCATGCCTGTTGTTGGCTGACCGAGACTTAGAGGCACGTCGCCATTGCCTAGAGTATGGTAGATGGCTTTGAATTGCGGCCACTCTGTACCGTCTCGATGATGATCTTGACAGATCGAGCTCATCGACGGAGAGCGTCGTGCAGAGTCTGAGAAAGCGTCACCAGGGAGTTCGTAATGCGCGATGAGATCCGACAGCGTTGATATGTCTAGTATGATGTCAACGACAGCGGGCAAAGGCTCTCGAGCAATGTAAGGCGCTATGGAACGTGTACAGAGTAGATCTCGAGCATGCGTTGCTTGCGGAAGCGGCGTTATGATGGCATCATCTCTGTTTCGTTCCGGAAGTGAAATGGGTCGCGGTCTGACGTCTGACAGCTGCAGGGCTTCAGCCGCTCCTTTAGATAAGACGGAGTCCCTGGAATGCGTGAGGCAAATTTAGAGACGATCCTGAAGAGGCTGATCACCGAGGCTTCTATTTCAGACGTGAGCATACTCTTCGTATAGCTAAAAGGTCTATCATTGAGTGGAATGACAGAGGTGTATCGAGGCACATCAAGGGGTAGATGTGAGCGCCAACCCAAAAACCGTTTCTGCCCAGTCACTTTTAGCTCGGTCGCTATTCAGGTTGCTAATGCTTTTTCGTCAACAGGCCTTTTGACTCTGATGAAGTGTAGTATCTGTTCTTGGCAGACGAAACTCTAGAATCAGGTCATCGACCTAACAAAAGGTCTTCTGATCTTTCGTGCCTCAATCGATTCGATGGCTTGCTGTCGGTCCTTTCGCAATGCTGACTCGTATCACACTCTCACGTACCGGTTCGTATGTCAATTTCTGATCACTCGAAGACAGCTGGCGATACATAAGGTCACGAAGGCTGGGTACCGATGCGTGCTGGCGACTGGTGCCTCGATCTTCGAGATCTCGCCTTCTCGAGACCGGAACAGCACCATGTAGCTGTGAAATACGACAATATCCGCGCAGAAGCCGACGATGAGGAAGGAATCATGGAGCCGTGAAGGATGAGAGACAGATTCCAGGCAAGCGTGGCATCGCGCAAAGGCAAACACGCGCAGACAGTAAATGCAACAAACAGGACAAGGCGCTTGCCGACTGCTGCGAGACTCAGCAGCGACAGCAAGATGGCTTCCTCGTGCGTTCTTCTCGGCTCAGCAGGTCCTCCGAATGTCTGCTAATCTGCAGCGAGGGATGCAGGCTGCGCACACTGATACCGCCCAAGATTGCGTCACCCAATGCTATCGGGGCGCAAAAGACAGCACAACGCATGACGAGGGTCATCGACTTTTACTCGAAGCTGCCCAAGGGACCTGCGCCCCACAACTCGCCCGGACTGAACCCTGTGGCGAGATACAAGGCTCGCTACTTTGATGGAGAGAATGCTAGCGCGGCTCCGCTCGTTCACGCCATTGTCGGCGTCTTCCTCATCAGCTACACGATTCACTGTGAGTCCGCTGTTGGGCTCGCTTCTGCCGAGCTGACGAGGTGAGGCCTCAGACCAGATGCATCTGAAGCATCACAAGTCGAATCACCATTGAGCGCGGCGCGGCGCTCTCTAGAGGTCAGTTTGCAAACATTGCCGCGAGGACAACAGGCTGAATATGCTGCATAGGATGACAACAGACAATGCATGATTGCTTCATGTGCTAGTTTCCGGCTGTCTGAGCGGCAGCAGCCTTTCTGAGCGCCCTCCTTGCTTTCTTGTCTTTCTTCTGCGCCGCGCGGATCTCGTCCAGCGTTTGAGGTTTGATGCTGTCTCCATCTTCTGGCTCTGCCGGTACGACAGTGCGTGGTTCGGCTGCCGTGATAGCATCGTAGCCGCCTGGCTTCATGAAGCCGTTCGCCGACTTGCCAGCGTGTGACGCTTTCTCTTTGACGGGAATGATACGCTCCGTCCCTTCTGCTTCGAGCCGGGCCTCCCTCTGCCGGTGCGCTTCGCGCTGTTCGGGCGTGGGAGCTGACAGTGGCGGCTGCCGTTTGGCCTTGTCTTGTGGTCTGCGCGCCTGTGATATCGCGCTGGAAAGTGAAGGCGCGAGGTTGGCCAGAATCCTCTGTGACTCCTTCTCTGCTTCAGTCTCACTGTCTGCGGCCTCCTCCTCGTCTTTCGCTTCAGCGGGTGCTGGCTCGGCGATGCCATACGTTCTTCGGCCAGTCTGCAACGGCGTGGCAGCAGATGAAGAGCCGGCCAAGGGAAAGCTGAGCAGAGAGGTTTCCGTCACATAGCGCACTCGCTTTGCGGCAGGTGCGCTTGCCGAGACTGTGGCAAGCTTGCCATTGACGGCGGCAGGTGGAGCAGCAACAGGCGGCGAAGGAGCACGACGTTTGCCAAGTGCGATCGCGCTCGGTGAAGGGACGATGCTAGGCTGGGCAGGCTCAGACGTGGCTTGTGATTTGTTGGCATTGCCTCTCTGCATGAACTTGAGCCCGAGCGTGGTCGATGAGAGCTGAGGAGGCATCTTGGACAGTTGCCAGATCGTCTGCAAGGCTGCAAGGGTCGACACGTCGACACGTCGTCGTCGCCCTCTCTCGCGACTCGCTGCCTCCACAACTTTGTGACAAGCAGTCGCTCAGAGATGAGGGTCAGATCAGCAGCGCTAGCGCTAGGAGCCTGGCTGGCATGGTCAGGCACACCTGTGCGAGCAGAGGAGGAGACGCTGCAGTTCCAGTCGGACGTAGCTCGGCTCATGCGAGTGGTCGTGTCACACCTCTACCATCACAGAGATGTCTTCCTACGAGAGCTTGTCTCCAACGCAGGCGACGCTCTCGAGAAGCTGAGGTTCCAGGCTCTCACGGACAGTACCATCTTGACAGATTCGGATGCGCCTTACCTGAATATATCCATCAAGACGGATGCCAACACGAAGACGCTCACGATTACCGACTATGGCATCGGTATGAGCAAGGAGGACCTCACGAAGAACCTGGGAACGATCGCTAGATCGGGTACATCAGAATTCTTGAGCAAGCTCGAGTCTGGCGAGGGCAAGACCGGCGCAGGCGCCAACCTCATCGGTACGCGCTGAGTGGTCGTCATGGCCTGCTTTGAGCTCATCCGCTCGTCTAGGTCAATTCGGCCTGGGCTTCTACT